ACAACTAAATCAGGCGGACTGTTTTGTGTTACAAGCTCGCAATTATTAAGAAAGCGCAGGCTAAATGATCATACCTTGCTTGTTCGGCTGATAATTTTTCCTTCTTTACTCAACTGAGGAAATGGCAACATGCCACAACTAAAACTGAAGACTTAACCAACCACAGCACAGGAAAAGAAGTCGCCCTCACCCTCGCTCTGATTGGCTAAGGAACACTACAGGAGATTCACGGGGTTTATAAGAAAGTGTTACGTCAAAAACTAAATTACAGTCTTAAGTCAATGGTAAAGCTCTCTTACAACACATGTATATTACAACACATGTAAGGCATCAGAAGATAATGAAGTAGATGGGCTGATCAAAATGATCTCCCCAATGGTTCACAAAAAGACTGGTTTACTCCAGATGCACTGTATTATGACAGATGCACCGTGCGAATCTCTCTACCTGGAAAACAGGTTTAAAACTGATCTACCAATAACTCTACTAGAGTTGTGGCTACATGTGGTCTTGAGCTTCTTATTGTCAGTCTAAACATCTGAAAAGGAAAGCAATCACTCTGTTAAAAGGTTAAATTTCCACATCGCAACTCTTGAAGATAATTTTCAGCCATGCTATAACCCCCTTAGCAGATAATTATACTTTTGACACTTTCAAACTTTTAAAAGAAAATTTAACAAGAGTTCTGCTTACTTGAGCTTGTCTATTAGGTTCTAGTCGAAGCAGTGTTCCTATTTGAACGGTTGATCCTTTAATTATACCGGCACACACAAAGTTCTCCGGATTAGGGTCTACATTCTGAAGTAGGGAAACTCCAAAGCCAACGAGCTGAAAGACACCAGACAAAAAGTTATCACATAAAGAAACTACTGATATAGGAATTACATGATGATGCTGACAGAAATTGTGTAAGCAACGAAACTCGTTTTGAAGGTGTTCTCTGATCGTCCGGGTGAGGCTAATCCTGAAAAGCACTGTTGTAAGTGGTAGTAACTGTAGTTTAAACAACCTGAATGAAATTCCCTTCCGCAGGCTCCAACCGATCAGAGTATAGAATATATCTGTTTAAACCAATAAGTTAAGGTAACGTCTGGACTCGAGCCCATTGGTCCACCCAGCCGGATCTTATCCCAGTTTCCGAGGGGCATGAAGAAACTAGGAGTATTGC